ACGAAAAGAGATGGGTCTTGCGCAAGATGGCGCAACGACCTTTCGCGACGGCTCTCGCGGGCCGCCAGCGCGGCTGAATTGGAAGCGAGGGCGCCCACGCGCAATATGAGCGGCCAGCTGACGCGCGAACGTCCGCGCGGTCGGACGCGGAGCAGCAAGAGGCGGCGGGGCGCGCGCACGCGCCGTCCCTCGGCGGCCGCGCGCTCGGCCAAGCAGCGGTGGCAGCGGGCCAACGGCGGGAGTGCAAGCCCACACGAGTCAAAACACACACACAAACACACACACACACACACTTTGGCGTCGCGGCCCTGCGCGCGGCGACAGGGCGTAGAAGGTTGGAAAACAGCGCAGCGCAGCGCGCGCGCGCGTCTAAGACCGCCCGAGCGCTCAGAGACCATTCAGAGACTCAGGGACCACCCGAGCACTCAGAAACGCACACACACATATTACTTTTGGGCGTCGCGGCCACGCGCGCAGCAACGCGGCGGCGCAGGCGAGGGAGGATAGGGAGCCCGCGGGCGCCCAGCTGACACACACACACACAGACACACACACACAGACACACACACACACACACACACACGCACACACACACACACGCACACACACAAACACACACACACACACACACGCAGACAGACACACACACACACACACACACAGACACACACACACACACACACACCACACACACACAGACACACACACACGCACACCCACACACACACAGACACACACACATATCGACGTTTTCCCCATGACGCGCGGGACTGGTGCTCGACCAATCCTGGGCCGCGACCAATGGCGAGGCTCGGGTCCGGCGGCAGTGGCGGCACCACGGTGGCAGGCGACAGGGGCCACGAGCCCTCCCCCCAGGCCTGCCCGCGGGGGAGGGCCGAGCACGTGCGCGCGGGAGGCCAGGAGGCTGCGAGGAGGCGGTCGCAGGCGACCAAACCTCCGGCGAGATCAGGACTGGCACGGTGCGGGCATCGGTTAAGGAGCCCTCGGGTGAGGAGACCAGGATCTCGAGAGCGGGTGGAGCACCGACTGAGGACTGGTCATGGGCATCGCCGCCGCCCCTAGCATTAGGTCGGGCATGGTCTCATATTGGCGGGCTTGGGCGAGAAAATAGAAACAGCCCCCAAAAAAGACCAGAATTACCACACATACTAGAAAGATCGTCCCCAGACTGCCTTTTCTACGATTTTTGAATCATCCTCCTGTAGGGGGACATGCCCGACTTGACCCTAGCAGATAAGGAACCCTCTAGGGTCTGGAGCCTCCTGGGCGCATTCCCTTACGACCGCCCCCCAACCGGCAGGGCGGGCGTCACGCACACCGTACTGCCTCCAAGGCCGCCAGTGGGTCACCCTCTGCGCGTGTGCCGGAGGGACGTGTGCGAGCCTGCAGGTGCAGAGGAGGAGGGGGGGCGCGAGACAGTGGGCAGTTTGAACAGGCGGCCCCGCGTCCTCCTCCTCCCCCTCCTCCCTCCTTGCCCCTCTCCTCTTCCACCTCCTCCTCCCCCTCCCCATCCCTCCCTCGTCTTCCTCCCCCCATCCCTGCTCCTCCTCCTCCTCCGCCTCCTCCGCTTCCTCCCCCTCCTCCACCTCAAAGAAGATAGGCGCAGGCAAAAACTCTTAACACGCCCATGGGTACGATCGCCAATGTCGGTGTGCCACGGTTTTTTGGTTTGAGCCCCACGCCCACACCTCCTGACGCCTGTCTGGGCAGGCTGGCGCTGCTGCAACGGGGGGGGTGCAACAGACGATTGTGAAAGAGCTCTGGCAAGGAGACGTGCACAGAGGAACGACCTGCAACAAGGCACTGCGCAGCTGCAGAGCCAGGAACATGACGCAGGCGGAAACGCCTGGCAGAACGCAGCCTGGTGAGACAAACCAGAAATGCGGCTCGTCCGCCCCGGGCTGGACTAGACAATCCCCTGCATTCCACAGCAGCTGCTGGAGCCGACGGTGTAGCAGGGCGCTCCGCGAGACCCACTGCAGGCACACCAGGCCAGGGGGCCTGGCCACACCTGGACAGATGCCGAAGCAAGAGCCAATCACAGTCAGCGCTTTGACTAGCTCGCCGACGGGAGGAGGCAGCGGTCCGTCGTCCTAGACGGCGTACCGAGAGGGCGCCGAAGCCAGCGACAACACGACCTTGCACCTTCACACGCACATCTCCTACTTCGCGTCGCTAAAAGATGCAGTCAGCGGGTCGAAGAATCCGCCACGGTGCTCCCTGGCATGTTGAGGCGTGGTACACTGCCGAGGGCTATCTGGTGGGCTTCTGTATTCTTCTAAGAAAAACCCCTCGTGTCGAATCCACGCTCGCCTCGGGAGAGACACAGAACGGCTATAGAAGATCCTCCGACGGCACAAGACGGCGCCAAGACGGCCCCACAACGGCCCCAGGAGAGCCCGAAAGCGTCTTAAGAGGGCGCCAAAACGGCCCGCCAGGGCCCAAAGACGGCCCCAAGGGACCCCCAAGGCTGGACAGCCTCACAGGAGCCCAAGACAGCCCCGAGACCGCCTATATGCGCTTCATGCGAGCTCGCCAAGAAGTGAGGACAGAAGGTGGCACATGTGACCGCCGTTCCATTCCTCATTATCCTCCTGCACTCCTCCTCCCTCTCCTCCTCCTCCACCTCCTCCTCCTCCTCCTCATCCTGCCCCTCCTCATCCTCCTCAGCATCACTATCGTTATCAGCAGAGACCGCATCATCATCAGCATCAGCAGCGGCAACAGGATCATCATCATCAGCATCCTCGTCATCATCAGCATCAGCATCATCATTAGCATCATCATCAACATCAGCAGCATCATCATCATCATCAGCACCATCATCATCAGCAACATCATCGTCGTCGTCACCATCAGCATCACCATCATCGACATCATCATCATCATCATCATCATCATCATCACCACCACCATCACCATCATCAGCATCAGCATCATCGTCATCCTCATCAGCCTCATCAGTATCATCATCATCAGTATCAGTATCATCATCATCATCATCATCATCATCATCATCATCATCATCATCATCATCATCATCATCATCATCATCATCATCATCATCCTCATATCCATCAAGCTCGTTTTCCACAGCATGGCTCTCCAAAAGCGTGGGGAAACGGTGTCTCACACGTGGCAGCCTCCCGTGCTCCTCAAGCAATCGCCACCCAGAATGCTGGTCTGGCACGGCGGTGGGACTTGCCGCAGGCAACTGGATGCTAGAACGGGCTACTATCAAGTACACGGGCTACGACGCGCACAGACTCACACAGACACCCACGCACACACACACACACACACATGCACACGCATGCACACACAATCACAAACACACGCACGCACGCACCCCCGTGAGCGAAGTGGCAGGAAGAAACGCAATGGACAATGCCACAGGCGGCAGACCAGCCAAGAGGGGGATGGCCCACCGTGCGCCGCGGCGTCGCGCGCCATCTGCTCGTAGCCCTTCGCTGTCGTGGGGTAGTCGAACTGCCTCGCCGCGTCCCCTCTGGCGCGGCGCGCCCCTGGGGACAGGCCAGGCTCGTTGGGCCTCTTAGGTAGACGAGGAGCAGAGCCGGAAAAACACAGAGAAGGAGGAGGTGGGCAAGGAGGAAGCCAAGCGCGGGGGCCAGAGTGCCTGCCTGGATGCTGACAGTGCACGGTAGGCCCGGTGCCTCCTGACCAGGGCTGCAGGGACCTCAAGCCGAAGCTCCAACGCCGACCTCTCGATCAGCCGTAGGACAGGGAGGAGCGAGAGGAGCAGGATGACGATGATGGTGATGGTGATGGCGATGATGCTGATAATGCTGATGGTGATGACGACGGTGGATGATGATGACAACGGTGATGATGATGATGATGCTGCTGCTGATGATGATGCTGATGATGACGACAACGATGGTGATGATGACGATGGTGATAACTCAGATGCTTAGAATGGTAGAGATAATGACGCTGGTGCTGTTGATGATGATGATGATGATGATGATGATGATGATGATGATGATGATGATGATGATGATGCCGATGGTGGTGATGATGCTGCTGCTGATGATGATGATGGTGATGGTGGTGGTTATGGTGATGACGATGACTAGGATGGTGAAGATGATGTTTATGATGATGCTGATGATGATGGTGGTGGTGGTGATGATAATGGCGATACGGCTGATGCTGATGATGATGTGTTGTCGGTGTTGGCGTTGTTGATGGTGATGATGTTGTTGATGTTGGTGTCGTTGCTGATGTTAGTCACGGCAATGATGGTGTTGTTGATGGCGATGCTGATGGTGATGGTGGTGGTAGTAGTAATAGCGATGGTGATGAAGATGATGACGATACTGATGATGAGGATGAGGATGATGACCTTGATGGTGATGATGGTGATGAAGATGATGATGCTGATGATGATGAAGAAGAAGACGATGCTGGTGATGATGACGACGACGATGAACCGCTACCCTGAGCGGTTCGTCCAGGAGAAGCGTGCTGGTCAAATCGGTAAAGGCCGTCAAACATGTTGTTCCTTGGGGCGAGGGACGGGCCGTCCCAGCAGATGGTCCTGGCCCTGGCAGACCCAATAAACGGTTTGGGGGGCTGGGCCCTGAACTGGGATCCAAACAAAACCACCATGTTCCCAACGAGTCCGACTGTTGGTGCGACCTGGGTGCCTCTGCTCATGTGCTAGCCACGGCATATGTCCTGCCAGGGCCTGCTCGGACAAGTGGGCCCGAGTCAAGCCTGTCATGGAACGAGCCCTTCTGGTTTTTTACTGGACAGCATCCTCGTGAGGACGCATGCGGGTCCTGAGCATCCACTGTCCTCCTCTTCCTCCTTCTCTTCCTCCTCATCCTCCACATCTGCCTCCTCTTCTTTATCCTATGTATGTTCCTCCTCCTCTTCCTCCTCCTCCTCTTCCTCCTCCTCGTCCTCCTCTTTCCCCCCTCGTCATCATCCCCCTCATCCTCCTCATCCTCCTC